CATGAATTTGTTTATGGAGCTTTGAATTGATTGCAACTTATTCACCAGTTTATTTAATCGAAAGAGGAATATTTTGGTGATTATCTTTGCATTGTTTGTTTGGTTAATTCAGTAATTCTTTTAAGTATTCGAAAGAGCTTGTTGAATGTTGATTAAATCAAGTTAGGGTAATATTCGAGAGACGTTTTCCTAAAGATTAGTCCATTAATATATTCTTGAATACCTTCACAATGCTTTATATTAGTTCATCTCGTAGAATTCCGATTTAATTGAGATAGGAGTCTTCGCTAGACGATTGAACTAATCATCGAGTGAATTCGTGAGAATCATTAGAATATTACAGTGAATTGAACTAGAGTTAGATCCCGAATAGCTATCTTGCACCTATCATGTCACGACCCTTATTTCTCTCATTGATTATTTTGATGTTGCTCAACTCTTATTTTCTATGATCAATTATTAATTGTTTTAGTTTTAATAGTTAATTTTAATCATTAATCATTCTAACCAAAGTGTTAATTATCCTTAATAACGTTTCATGTTAGAAATTACTTAAATATTATTTAAATTCAATCCTTATGGAGACGATAATTAAATTATACTATCTTTAGCTAACGAGTATCAATTTTTATATTGTGTTTTGCGCTCGTCAAAGTTTGGTCACGGCATCGTGGCTGGTGGTCACGGTTGGAGGCTCCAAGATCGTGGCAACTAGTGTCTCGGGGGAACAGTGGTGTCTTAAAATGGTTAAGGCCATCGTTTACCAGGTGGCGCAATGGCACTAGATCCAACGGATCGTTTTTTCGGCTTGACCCTGATGCTAACTTGAGTGGATTCTGACCAGCACTCTGATATCAACTATCATCGAGCTCCGCGCTAAACCAAAAACACCTTTTCAACAATTCTTTTTCACTGTCGAAGGATCTTATCATGAAAAAGGTACTTTCTTGTTTTATATAGCTAGCTTCTTAGTGAAGTAAAGATTCCTCTCCATCACATTTTCTTTTACTGCATGTTTCTGCCATTTGGTTGATTAGTATAAAATCAATATTAATTTAAACAGTTACATTTATCTAGCTCCGATTAGCTACAAAAAATTATATATAACACTCATTTTCTGGACCAAGAATCAATAAGAAAATATTCCCATTCTATTCTTTAAATTAAATAGCCAAATTATAACACTCCAATTCATGTAAGCCATGTACGACGTGGGATTTTTCGCATTTTAAGTCATTCAAACGAGAAATTGTTACAAATAACAATCATATTCACATAATGTATGTCTTCTTCTTTACAACTAGCGGATTTTTATATCTAGGGATTTTTTCATTTCTATATACTATTTGAAACTTTATTATCAAAAATATTCATGTTTAGTTAATTACCCCATCTAAACAAGTTTTGTTTACAAAATATATACATTCCACCTTAAAATGCTCCCAATCCATTATTAGTGTCTTCAATCAAGGGATTTAATTATATCTTTTTCCATTTTTCTCTCTTATTTCCTCTTTTTTCTCCAGATCTTTCACCGTTGCAACAATTTAAGCCAACTACTGTATTCTTTGATTTTAGTTTTCAATTTTAGTAAAATAAAAATATCCCTCACAAGCTTCCTAATTTTCCCTCCATCCAATTCATCCATCTTTGCACAACTTATATTTAAGTGCAACATAGAGGTGGTTGTTGTTGTTATAGGAGTTGTTTTTATGGTGATATTTGAAGTGGTTCCTGAACTTCTTTTAATAGCCACATTTGGCAGAACTCCTCTCTTGTCATCTTCCATTTTTTGTTTTTGAGACAAAAGTGAATTAGGATGATTTAATTGGTTTTTTATATCACATGGGGTAAATGGAAAGAAAAGCATAAAGTTAGGCATCATAATAGAAATTTTCAAGGGCTTGGAATAATTCCCACCTGTTTAATCCCCCAGATTCGTTCTAAAGAGGAAAAGGGAATTTTTTTGTCTCTCTATATTGATAACTAACGTAACCAACTTATAATAGTACTTCCTTTTGTGTGCATATGGACAAAATATATTACCTCCTTTTATGTCTAGAATCAATATTACTTGGAGGGCAAATAACTAAATAAAACCCAAAACCTCTTGGCTAGAATTTTTCATCTTCTCCTGTGTGTCCTCAGTCCTTTCATACGTATGCTACCAGGTTCAGGAAGTTCAGTTAAGTCAAGTGATATATTTTATTTTTGATGTTTTGGGAGGAAAATAAGAGCGCACTTAAATACAAGTTATACTGCTTGTGTTTACAACTTATTTACAATTTTTCATATATTATTTCTATCCAGTTATATACAACTACAATATCATACCACTTAAATACAATTTTTATACAAATTTTATACATTATGTCTTTTGTATCTGATTTATACATAGTAAAAATAAATTTCATACAACTAATTATATATTATACAACTTACCTACAACTTATCTACAACTTAGCTACAACTTTCATACATTATTTCTACCCAATTATATACAACTACAATATCATACAACTTAAATTTAATTTTTATACAA